AGATAGAATTATTGAAATTTGATGATAATTTTTATCTTTTTAATTTTCAGATGACTACATAACAAAAATAATAAGCTCTCTTTATAAAACACAGTAACTTTGATCTGATAATTTTTTAAAGTCATCATAGTCATTTTATGAATAATTGTGCAGATAAATTAAAATGTTACACTTTGTGTTTATGAATTTTTAGTCTATTCTTTAATAGTTGCACTTGTTTCCTATGCGATAGAAATTGTTCATACGTTTCTGTTTAATTACAATCGTTAACTTCAAATTGGTTCTTAATGATAGGTTCGTTGTACTTAGGCTAAAAAAGTACTTAGGCAATATAATCGTGACCTGTTTTGATCTTATGTCATTTCAAATTCTTATCTGATGTTTTATCATCGATTATTATGAAAAAAATTCACATTAATAATTCGAAAAAAAAGCTAAGATTATTATAAAAACATCATTAATCATTATCAGCGGTTCAATATGCGTACTTATAAAAAGATATGCGCATAGGTAACACATGCAAAGTGCTATGCGAATATAAAATACATTATAATATGTGGGCTTATAAAAGCGACGACTTGTCTTTTATTCTCTTTGTACTTTCAGCAGTAACAACAGCAGCAGCAGCAGATGAGTCGATTGCTTCATACAATGTCTCTTAGTACTTATGTAATTGTGCTAAGACTTAGGTGAGTCACTGAGGAAAAAGAAAAGAAGTGAGCACAAACAAAACTTTCTCTGACAAAGTAATAAAGTATCGATAATGTATTAAATAATAAAGTATTGATAAAATATTCAAGGCCTCTTAGAGGAAAAAGTATCGTTAAGTAAAAAGATTGAGACAATATAATATAATCATAATCAAGAAGCGCGATTACAATCATATGAAAATAGCAGTAGAGCGTCATTTTTCTTGGCAATTTTTTCAGATTATTTTCTATGCTTTATCGCGCGCGATGACATATATGTATAAATATTTTGGACATATATAAAATATTTAAAATACGAATAATTGTTATTTTTATAAATTCGCGTTTCTTTTCTCACTACGCTTCACTATTGCGTTTTTAATTCAAGGTCAGATAGATTAATTCTGATCTTAATTGCCGAATATTGCCGCATGATCATGCCATTTAAAACTACAAATTCTTTATATTACACTTAATTTTCATTCGGCGCACTTCTGATTACTTGTCATCTTGAACTGTTGCGAAAGCCATACTTAAGCGAAATATAAATTTATTCTTTATATGCAATTTATAGAATTACAAATGGCAAAACATACGAACGGAATTAAAACATATTTTTGCTTACCGCAAAATTTTACTTGACAAAATTTTACTGGACAATAAGATCTGAGCGCTTGAATTATATTTTAATATTAATGTCAGAACAAGTAGGCAAAATTATTTCTTTAAAATCAATAATTCTCGATATAATACATAGCTATTTACAGCATTGTTGCTAAGTAAACAATTGATTTATTGAATGCTTTTCAAATATAGGTCTGGAATGTATAAGCATATTAATCTGATGGCGATCTGATGCCGAATTTTCTATTACCGTTTCATAAATAGTTCTATATTTTTACTCGTTAAAATCTTCTAACATTTGATTAGCAGCAGCATGACAAACATTCTCATTCTTTCACTCATACTTAAAATTCATATTTCTTTGCAGCGTTGTTTTTTTTTCGTTGTGTTATTACGTTATTACATAGAGCATTTCTTTCTCGCATTTAGTTTGATTTAAACTTATTTAACTATCCGACATTATCTTATCGTGAAAATACCGCGTGTGAAAGGATTCAAGGAAATAAAAAAAAAGGAATCCATGTTACATCTCGTACATGTAATTCGTACATGTAAATAAATAAATAAATTTATCTCTTTACTTCACAGATAATAAATAATTCTCTATGTTAATAATCACTCGTAAATGAGATTGGAGAAAGTTTCACCTGATTTTTTTACCTAATGAGGTTCGTTAAAACTTTATACTCTATCTCTTATAACAATAACAACAACAATAACAATGAATACAGTAATTACAGTTAACTGCGACTTCTTAAAAATATTATTTCGCTTAAGGGAACATTATTACTGATTTGTGTGTATGAGGAACATAGATTACGATAAAGTTTTACATAAAATATACATTGAACGTGGCGATGTAGTTAAATTCTTTGGTATTAGCGAAAAAGCAGATGAGCGAAAATATTAAACGATTTGGATGCATCATACATATGGCGAATTGCATCGACATACTTAAATTAGATCAAGCGTTCAGAAGATCGTTATATAGGGCGACAAATCTTGTCTTTTTTGGTCCCTGAACCTACGGCTTGTACTTATGCTTAGCACCTTGAAATTTCCGTTGTTTGATTATATATTGCGAGCTAAGAAGTGTAGTCAGATGTGCAAGAGAACATGCGCATATATAAAAAAATATTAACTCATTCGTTTCCGTGGCGAAATGTACATTTCTCATTAATACATGCGCATTGTTAGACAATCATATTTCCTGCTCCATTTCATCACACGTGTATATACATTATTACTTGTTTTAAATTGTCGTTTCAGATATTTCTTTATATATAATAAAATGTAGCTCATTTATTCTTACAATGCATGGTTTGTATATATTTTGTACTCAACACGCGTTTTGATTACACAATGTTCTGTCATCAAACAGAATAGATGCTAATGATATAGCAGGCAGATATCTAACATATTACAATTCTTAGCCCCAAGTAATAAAATCAATATCTCTATAAAAATGCGAAATTGAAAACCAGATTGTCAATTTCAAGATTGTTAATTTTATAAAAAACATAAGAAATTTTCAAAATGCAATGTACAATATTTTTTACATTTTCTTCAAGTTATTTTTATAAGATATTAGAGAAACTTTAGTATATTTATATAAATTAAAAAATCAAATTTAAAAATTTGTGCTATCGAATATATATTTCGAAATTGACAATTTGATTAGTTTCGATTGATTTATCTATAAGCGTAGATTTTGATTAATCTCACACAAATGTTTCAGGAGGTTCAGGGAATTCATACTTTTGCTCATGTAAAACAATATTGGAGCAATTATATCGACAAAAATTGCAGTTGAACTCCAACAAAAATTAAAAAATAGATTTTTTATAAACATTTAACAATTTTGCATACGAATAAACTGATGAATAAAATCAATATCAACATAATTTTCAATTATGTTTATGTAACTAAAACTCGAGCTATATACATGCAGAATATATACGCACATACATGCAGAAATGTGTATATATACACATGTGTATATATACAATATGTGTATATCTACACAGTACATACACACATAGATGTGCGTATCTATCATGTGTTATTATATCATTTTTTAAAGTGTTTATTATTAAGTGTTTATTTTTATTCATTTAATCACACATTAGAACAATTTGCAATCAATGTTTTTAAAAAATATGAGGTATTTTAGCTTATTGTGGCATTAGGCCTTTAATATCACGGTCACTTCTCGAATTGCTCTGTATGTGTATGTGTTAAAATAAAATTTATAGGTTTGTGCAATTTGATACGCGATGATTGTGCGATACATAAAGAAGTTATCGTAGACATAGTAGTATCAATAGATTTGTCAGATTGCAATTTTGTAAGCGTGATTCTAGAATCCATACTTATTCCTTATTTGTCATACATATATGTATAATATAATATATACACGTATTATTGCGCATACGTATTAAAAACGTGTAAACTTTAAAAGCATATCGAATAATGCTATTTGTCCTTATACACTCTACCTGTCATCACAAAAGGCCTCGTAATACGAAAAGAAACAAGTATGTATGTATACTCGAAACATCTTCAAACATTGAAGATTTCATGTATACACAAGCTTTTTACTATTGCCCGTACAAATTTTTTTCACTTAATCTCTACTTCGTGATTCGATGTTTGCGTTTGGTTGTGTTTTCCGACGTTTGACCGTACGTTAAATGTCTCGATCATATAGTAAAATATACAATAATGAAAGGAGGACGATTATTAATTCTCAAGAACGTTTTTGTGCCCATTTCAGATCATCAGCTCTTGGTTTGCAACCGGTAGCCCACTCGATTATCACCTCCAAAATGTACCAAAATTGGAGTTTCTCTAGAGGCCAGTTCAGCCACCCTGTAGTGATGCAAAAATAAGTCTCATGGGGCGCAACGTGGTGCACCCGGTGATGCTTCCTTGGCAAGATGATCCTATGCTCTTGAAGCCAAATAACCCAAGCAGGTAATCCAAAGTATGTATGCGACCATTTATGAATCTGCAAAGCATATTATATATTCTTTAATTGTATAGCAAAATATAAAGCAGCATAAGTCATCCAAATATTATTATTTTTAATTTAACAATTATGAATATACAAATTATTAATCTAAAACGTAATTTTACTGGAGTAAAAGAATATCTGTGATATTATATTTCTCTAATTAAATCACCTGATTAGTCATTGCTACAAAAATGGCAAGTAGAAACCAATAGCATGTCCATACGAATTTCTGTTGCATTTCTACTTCGGGCAACGTGAGAAAGTCCCAAGTAAGTTTAGATAAGACTGGTATCGCGACCATGAAATTGTCGCCGTTAGTCTCTATGAAATCATGTCTCGTTATACTGGTAGGATCTATATGATGTTCACGAAATGGTCGTAGAAAATTCTATAAAGAAAATATAAGAGCTTTATAAGTTGGAATTTACGATTTATTCTGAAACAAATTCATTTTTATTATTCTCATAATTCATCTTTATTATTTTCATAATTTACCTTCCCCAAAATCGGAAGTTCGACGGATCCCCAGGTATCCGCGGCCCAATGAACTAAACCCGAGCCAAAGTCGGCCGTGATGATACCACACAGAGCAGCTATTGCTATGGAACTAAAATTTTCCAGTCGTAACCTGATGAGCACGAATATGGAATTCACGGCTATGAGAGTGATACAGATCCCCACACAGATACATTCTTGTGTTCTCTTGCCTGGAAACACATAGCGTAATTATCTTCTTTAATTTATTGTAACGATAAATAACGAAGTTCAATGGTAATATAATATATCTAAAAACATTTTCAGCGAATTTCTAAAAGTCAGTACGCACTAAAATACGCGATCTATTCTCGTTACGCATTTGTTTCTTTTATTCAACGGAATATATGCTTACATAAATTTTTGTATACATTAATGAATACATACGTTCTCTTTATATTCATAATGGAGCAAAAATTTCAAGGTATGAACAGATACATAACAGATGCATTCAATGACAAGTCATAAATTTTAAGGAGAACATAGTGGCATTTTGTCAGTGTTATGCAAATAGTTTTGAAACGGTTTTCAAATATGACGAACAATTTTGTTTTCGATGTTAAATGATCGCAATATAAAACGAGTCCACATACCTGTACTATATAGATTTGCAAGTTCCTGGGCACCTTTATGATTAGGGCCCCATCTGGGCACGGTTCTGTCCTCTTGCGAGGTCGGTACCACCGAGTTGGCATTGGGATCATCCTCGAGCATCGAATTTTCGTAGATCTGACGCTCGGTCTTTACCGGCGCTAGGAAATTAGTTGCCATGGAACATGCGGCCGACGCGGCCTGCCCTAGGTTCGGTACTTTTATGTCCTCCATGTTCTCATCAGTCGAAAAACTCTTATGCAATAGTCTACGCGAACGAACGATAATGTTCCATCATGCTCTATTAGAACTCGAGCATGTTTGGTAGAAATCAAATTTGATAGACCTGATTTTTCAGCATCCGGGAGACGCTACCGTTTCATTCGTTGAAAGATAAAAGAAGGCAACAGGGTTTTTCTTCTTTGCATACACGTTGTGTTATTTCAGGACGATCATTATCTCCAGATGTCCTCTCTCTCTTTCTGTCCGTCGCGTAAAAAGTTATTCATTCTATTTCATGCGACGAGATTGTGAATTATTAGTTCGCACTCCTGAGAGAAGTTTAGAATCGTTTACCTGTTCAGTTCAGGTCATACTTTTTTTCAGGTATCGGAGGTCACGTCGCAGCAAATACCTACAACAAAACATACGTAACATTCAGTACAACGTAACATTCAGTGTAAAGGGCGTGAAAGAAGCATTCCCTCAAAGAAGTAATCTATCTGAAACTTTAACTGAGGAATTTGCGATTCTCGAGAGAAGCGATACGACGATATCGCGTTTAACGAGGAGCGTTTACATCGGAACTGATGTTATCTAAATTGATATTGCCAATTCGAACATGATTTGCACGCCATTACCATCGAATGTGTAACACAGCCCGTACACATCTTGTAACAGTTATTTGCATATCGTAATTGGGCTACGTAATATCGTAATAAATGAAATGAGCTCAGCACGCCGAAATAAAGGAGACTCTACTCAATTTCAGATTGGTTAGTCGGCGTGATCATAAAGTGGGTTAATTCCGCATTTGCACGGAACCGTAGAACATTATGTCTTCATATCTCCGCGAGTATCGCGTGATTGTTCACGGATTCACGCGACGTTCACAACGTTCACACTCGCGCGACTTCCTACGCGCTAAAGTGCCCATTCGTATTCCTATACATTAACAATTCTCGAGCGTGAAACTGAGAAGTACATATTTGTAGGTGTAAAATGCGTTTATATGCGCGAGCACGCGGTATACAAAGATGAAAGAACGCGTTTATAATGACGCAGTACCGTTCATACATCATTTTGTCTATACGCCAAGCGTACTTCCTTCGAAGTATATGGATCCTCTTAATAAAGTCTAAGTCGATTCTTTGAATAAAAATGTCAAAATCCGATTTACGAGACTAATTAAAAAAAAAAAATATATATATATATATATAAAATTAAATTATTTTTACAAAAGTAGTAACAAAGTAAGTTTTATTTTGAGATTTTTAATCTGAAACTTTATTATTAAATTAATATTGGAAACTTTAAAGCTGTAACAAAAATAATAATCTTTGATCTTTTTCATTTATGAAATGAATTTGCAAAATTATTCAAAATCGTCCAAAATACCAGAAAATTATGCATTTAGCGAAGAGAATATATAACATATATATTTTTACTTTTGCGAATGATGTAACGAGAATATCAGAAGATAAGCAAAATGATTCGGAGAAAGGACTGACGATGAAAGAGAAGATGTAACGCTTGAAGGATTCAAATACTTGGAAGATCGAACATCGTCACTCGCAGGTGCAAATTACTGCTCGAATTGATTTTCGAAATGGGCTGGCTTTTTAATGCGCCTCCTCTCTGGCGAGGAGAAATCGCGTGCCGGTAATTAAACCGAAGGCGAAGGGTTAAAGGCACTCTCTCAGGCACAACAACGTAACCGATCAATTTCTACACCACTAGGGGCGTATCGCGTACGTATATCGTCATCATTCGCACGCGAAATTCACGTCCTCGCGCCGTAGACGCTCGGCTTGCGGCTCACGTTTGTCGTTCAGCTTATCGCGGTTGGTCCGGACGAAGCGTGTCAACTTGCGCGACACGCGTATCATTAAATTAGAAAATTTTTCACTCCGTTTCCTTTAATGCCGCCACATCGTTTGTTATTTCTGTCGGTAATAATATGTAATTATTCAATATATTGAACGATGATTCTCCTCCAACATTTACTGACATTACAAAAAAAAACCTCATCTATGACTTTGTAAAAAGACTGGAATATTAAAAAGACTATTTTCCAACTCCAACAAGAGAAAATTATTATATTTATTAACGTTCATATTTTTTAATCGATAATCGATAATCGTTTTTATATTATTTAATGGTAGATTTTTCTCAGCTCAATCTCAAGTTTTTCTTTATAGAATAAACGCACACAGAGAAGGGTCGTAAACGCTGCTGCTGATGCAACAGATCCTACGCGACCAGTTCATAACGAGATCAAAGAGAACGAAAGAAGAGACGGACTGAAGTTATCTTGTTTGATCGCGCGAGTCGCAATCTTCGTCGCATTGTACGTTACATGAGTGCATATGACTTTTTGCGGTTCAAAGGTTCGTACATATTTACGCACACTGGCATTTGCAGGCGGACGTATCTCGCCGTTTGAAACGTCGCCACGCGATGTTATACATATACAGGACTCATGCAAGAGGAATGGCACGTCCATCTCGTCAGGATTCAAATGAGATATTGGCGCACGTGCGAGCGAGCACGCGCATACACGTGTGTACACGCCTTTGCGAGGAATTCTCTCGCGATATGGGTAAGTGTATGCATTCATACACGGATACGTCATATGAGTCATAACAGTGTTTGTATTCTTTCTATCTAGCTTGTCCCATCCCATCTAGCTGACTTCGAGCACTTGATATTTTTATAAGAGACGTAATATTCTTAGGAATATATTTTCTATTAATTAGAAATTCTATCTAATACAAACTTTGATAAACTTTAGAGCAAAAGTAAGGTAGCTTCGAAGAATGTAACTTGTAATAATTATGCTTGGTACCCAATAAAAATCTCTATGATGCTAATTTTACTTAATTTCTTATCTTTTATTATAAATTATTTTTTTCATAAAATTTATGTATAAATAAAAAACTTATATTCTTCGATACGGACTCTGAAAAAATATCAATCCTTTGAAATTAATCGAAGTAGCGATGAATACGCTTGTGATTCACTGTATATATTATTCGTCCGATCTTAGGGCATCGCCATACATAGATGCACAGATGCACGCTTGAGTATTCTGCTCGAGCATTCAATAAAAGAATCGGAATTTCAATAGAAAAGAATTAAATGATTCAAATGAATTGCTATCGATGAATACCACTATTAAAAATAATATAATAAGTTTACATAATATTTATTTACATAAAATGAGTGAAAATATAAATTCTACCAATGATATGTTTAAATAGAATTTATGGTAAATGATCACACACTTCAATATTGTGAATTTCAACAAGAGAAAATTATATCATTTATTATAAATGAAATTTATAATAAATATGATACAATTTTCTCTTGTTGGAGTTAATAGGCGGATTATAATTAAATTAAGGCATATTTTGCCGCGTTGAAAATTAGTATTGGACACATATAATGCTATCACGCGTCATTTCTTTATATAAAGGTTATTTATATATAATTCAATTCCACAATTATGACACGAGGATGTTAAATTCTGTATAAAAGCTATCTAATTATATAAAACAAATGGCATTAAACTGTGATAAAAGTTTTGATTACTTAGCTGCTATACGAATAAACTAAAATAAAAACTAATTTATCTTAAAACACACACACACACACACACACACGCGCGACGCGCGCG